TCTATAAAAAGAATTTATGAGATTGTATCACATTTTTCAAGACGTTCTTAATCAAAGAATTTTGAAAACGGGAGCTATTAGTATCTAAATAATTTTAGAATGTTATCTCACGCAATTTTTAACGATTAGAATATTTATTTTCTTTCTTATCTTATATATTTTATATTTAAATTTAAAAAACGTTAAGTAATTTGCAATTTATACACATTTTAATCTCCGCTTCTATGTAGAAGCGGAGATTATAGTCCTATATAAATAAATGACGTATGTGATGCGATGCCGGTTAAACGGAAGTAGTAGTAAAGTAACGGAGATAGATGAACGAGAGGCTAACTTTCGCGACACGAGCCATTAGACGCACCCTTTGAGGGTGAAAACGAACGCACACTTGTATTCTGCGAAACTCGAGAAAACGCACGGAAAAACGCACGGTTTCGCCTTCTGACATAACAAAGCCAATTTCTTTAAGACGCTCCTCCGTAACATCCGAACGGCCAAACTTTTCCGTGATCCGAGCTTTTTTTTCAAGAACATCGACTGTCATTGGCAGGTTTCTTCCCCTCCGGGATCTCATTTACCGAACTTTTCTAATAAAGCAACGATGTAATAATACATTTTTTTTTATCAATCGGAAACTTTAATGGCAATATCGATAAAATGATAAAATAATAAAAGCAACCATAACGACTTGTAGAATGTGGAAGCCATATGTCATAAGAACATAAGGAGAAGCAATTGCTGTATTTCAACGTGTGTCGATTCGTCGTCATCGCGTCGAATGGCTATCTTTATGCTTGTTTAGAGTAAAATGATAAGTTATTTCTCTCTGTCAATAACACATCGACATTTCGCGAAAAAAGAGAAAATCCAATTGAAAAGTTTTGAAAGAAATCGTGCCACCGAATCCTTTGAACCGAGTAAAAGCTCCGGCTATATTTTTTGACGTTTTCGAACTTGTGATATCTTGTACAGGCTTCTTATTCTAAAAACTTCGAGTACATAGATTCTCGATCTAAAATCCTGAAAGTTTTTAGATCCTTAGATTCGTAAAATACTATATATAATAAATCAGAATTAAAGTTTTTAACATATTTTTCACCACAATATAAATGTAGAAGATTAAGAGAACGCGTTCTTTATAAAGATCTTTCATTCGAGACATATAATTTTATTTTATTTGAAATTAAGAGCAAATAAAAAAAAAGTTTCAGTATATTTCATAAACTTCAATAACGCATTCATCTAAGAGGTAACGTGACACTTCGAGCGTTTCTTGCGATGCTAATCATCCCTCATTTTTACTTTCCCTCCTCCTTCATAAACGCCGAGCGCGACGCCATCGAGCGACCACCGTTATCTGAGATTTATGCCACCCTCATCGCGGGAAGTGGAAAAATCGGCCCCACGCGGCTGTCTCGATGTTTTAATCTGAAACCGCTTGCGGCACAGTTTGTAAACAAAACTTATTCGCGGCGCATTTCGGCCGGCGAACACGCGAAAAGCTGCGGGTCGAGCGATGAAAGATGTGTCGAGGCTGCGAATAAATCGAAACCGTCCAGCCGCGGGTTAAAAGGGCTTTCTCTGTTACGTGTACGATATATATATTCACACTTTTAAATATTGAAACCTTACGCGAGGATAAGATCTATACAGACTTTAGAATCCTTTTTTTTGGAATTAAGAATATATGTATTTATGAGAAAAAGATTGTAGGTTCTCTTAATAATAATTAATACATCATACTTTAATAAGATTTTTATAAATATAATTTTTTTCTTAAACTTTAAGTATATAAATTTTCAAAATTGAAAGTTCACGTTTTTGACGATAATAAATGCACAAGCTTAAGAATCTTTTTTTTTTTCCAAAACAATTTTTTCTTTTCAATGTAATTTATCTACAAAATAAAAAATTTGAAAAAAATAGTAAAGAAATAATGGAGTTTCTTGGAAATAAAAATTATGGTTGCATTAAAAAAATTATTTTTAGATTGTTTTCTGCAATTATTTTACAGCATTAGATAGATAATGACGGTTAAATAGAATATCGTTTGTTTGTTCTACAAATTACATTTTTCCCCTATTTCATAATTTCATTTGCTTATATAAATGTGCATGTGTATGGAAGAGAGAAAGAGAGAGAAATGACATGAAAATAAAGACGAAAAATGTGAAGCAAAAGGGGAGGAGGTTGGCTTTCAACGATCGCAATCCCCGCGGCGCTGTAAAATATCGGAAAATTCATTAATGCTCGATCTACGGAGCATAGTCGAATAAATCTCGTTCTCGCGCGAAGGGAAGCAATATGGCGTACCGAATATATGCGTCGACCGTAAGAAAGATCTCAAACGCCAGTTTTCTCACCTCGATATTCAGATTTGAATCAGGACGAGATCTCAGACAATCCGTAGGAGATAAAAATCGTAAGAAGAGTCTGCGAAGGATCGAGGCTTATCTTTACACGAAGAAACAGAGAATGACAAATACGCCATTGATTTCAATTGACATTTGATATGACGTCAGGATCTCCAGATGGAAGGCATCTCTTTAAGAGCATTAAATATTATTCGTCATATTTCAAAGAAGACGGTTATTTGCCTTCTATTAATTTGAACTCAAAGAGACTCATAAGAGTTCCCTCAAATATTCGTTTGCATGGAAGGCAAATTCATGCAACGTTAGCAGAATAAATGATTTTTGTGCGCAAAAATATTCCTACTTGCAAGAGAAAAAAACGTAATTACATGAAAAGAGAACCGCATAAAACTTTTACAGTTTTTCGTTTATTCAGATGCTTTTGCTCGAAATCAGATTGAGGTTTAATTTAAAAATTGATAATTAAAATTAATTTATCATAATATTTTGATACACCACAACTTTGTATTCTGTTTTTATTTTTACAATATAAAATAATAGCTTAATCCCAAATCTAATAACACAATCGCAGCTTACCAAGCGCATTTGCGTGAGAGGCGAGCAAAGAGAGAGATCTGATTTTAAGTAAAAAAACTTTAACAAGCGAGAGAATCACTTCACATTCGAGAATGAAGTACGTGTATATGAATGCATCGTCGATATAATTATACACAGTTTGACGGGACGCTAAGCTCCACAAAGTGCTGCAAGTACGTGCGCCCTTCTATCCCTTTCACCCCTTCCACTTCTTTCCTCACCCTTTCCCTTTCCGGATAAAGCGCGGTAAAAGAGAAATTGGTCTCGTTGGAACCGTAGAACGACAAGGTTGTACAAAGGCTCGTGTTAACTCCGGCGACTTTCCCAAGTACCACTCGTGCACACGTTTTCCTCTCCGGCTTATACTCGTGAGTTGAGTTCCATCGGGCAAGGTAGTCATCAACGCATTTTATTCCAAATTCAATGTGTCTTTCGCAGAATTAATAGTAATCCCATGATGCGTATAATTTCGCGTTTGTAATTTTTTCCTATGATATATGTGTCAATGGCTTAAATATGTATGTATTCTATGTTGAAATAAAAGTAAAAAAGAATTGAAACCTTGAGTGAATCTTCCGACGATCGTTTTATTGTGTTAAAGAAAACCACAATGACTTTAGCGAGTCGAGTATGCTTAAATAATAAACTATTCTGTGCTGGCAAAGAAGCAATTATAGCAATTACCTTTTCTGAGTTAAAGAATAAAAGGAGCTTGAATGAAAAAAGCGTAATTGTGGAATTTTAACGTTTCAGCATATAAAAATAAAAAAAGTTTTTACATAAAAAATCTTGAGGATTTTTTTCAAACTCTGCGCTAAATTTAGTAGATTTAAATGTCAAGCAAATGATGAATCACAAATGTAGAATTTTGTGAAACGATTTAGTCGGCGCGTATCTAAGCGATTAGATTTATTCTTTAATCTATTTCCTACAAATGACTACTCGCAATCTGGATCTCGCGAAATAAGCAAGCAACCGCAATTGCGGTAATTGCGGAATCCTTGAACCAAGCTAGCTTCAAGGGGTTAATGTCTACCGAGAAAACGCTGAGGAAATCCACTGCCGCTTATCTTGTTTATCAGAGGGGATAAGAAGTGCTCTCTCCAAACAGTGATAAAAAGATTAACCTTGTCTGCACGTCAGAGAGAGGACGTGAACAAAGTCGATTATCTCTATACGTGAATTATCGCGCGCACATATGTACAATCTAATCTGTATCTCAAATTAAAAATATTGGCTATCAATCGTGAAAAAAAAAAAATAATATAAGTTTTATCTCGTGAATTTTTAAATAGGATTGCCCAATATAATCCACAGAGGAAGCGTGGTAAAATTTCAAAATGGATGCTAAAGGATAGTATTTTGATTTGAAATCGGATTTGGTCACTGAAAAGAGAGGAGGGGGCAACGCAATACAAGGAAAAAAGTGAAAATGCACGGCTCATGGCGGATGTATCGCTGCGTGAAACAAGCGAGCTGACACAGTGCAACGGTGCGGTTTTTGCGAGCGATATCTCGCAATGCAACACACAGAGCTACGTCCCCTCCGCGCCCCCTTTTCCTCCCCTCTTCTCTCCCCAACCGCGTTCAATTCGATTTGAAATTCTTGCAGATATTTCCATACGCCCGTAAATGGCCCGGCGACGCGAGTTTAACCCACTGCGGGCCGGACCGATATTGTAAAATGTTGAATACGTCGCGATGGGGGGTGGAGTGGTGAAATGGAGGAAAGGGGGGTTGGGAGGGCGACCGATCGAGCGACCGGACGGCGGGAATGAATATATACGGACGCGGGGGCGCGAATGAATTTATGAACGCGCACGCGAAAAGCCGAGGGCTCCACGTGATCGTTCCTTCCATATCCCGTGACACACCGGCTGGCCGGTCTCGTAAATCGATGGCAGCTGTTTTATGCAGTTAACCGCGCGGAAAAACCTGATGCGGAAATCCCGAACGCATTCGCATAATCGCAAGATCAGGACGAATCGTAACCTGATCTTCTCTTCCTATTTTTGTATTTTTTTTTCTTTTTCAGGTAGGTCGAATATTGCGTTGTATCTCTCTCTCTCTGCGTTAGAGCGAGAGAAATCCGAGAAATTTTCGATTCAACACTAGGCATTTTTATCGAAGGTTTATTTCGCCCGCCTGCGTTTCGAATACGAGGATCATCGCGTTCGCGGAATATACATATGTATATACAGAGGGTAAAATATTTCAGTTCTTTTTCTGTTTGCTTTTCGTTAAAATGGAAAACTTTTTTTTCCATTTTCCAGTGCAAGTAACTAATCGCGAGAACATTCCGCTCCTGAGTTGAATCGGTTTTAGTTGGTGTGAAAGTGATTATTAAATTAAATAAAGTGATGATTTCTCTCTGGACTTCTTATAAGTCAAAGTAACCTTTTAGCTGATAATGAGATTAGGGAGAGTTCGATTAAATTGCGAACTTGGATTTCTCATATTTCGATCTAACTTCGTGGCACGGAAGTGAAAGTCACCTCCCGACGTAGCCAGGCTTCACAGATTGAATTTGTTACTGCGGTATCAAAGCCGATAACTTCCGTAACGCATTAATACTATTCCCGTTGACAATAAAACCCCTCGGTTCGTGTGATCGCTCGCACTCACCCTCGGCTTGATGAGGAGCGTAGATATTGAGGTACAAGCAGTCTTCGCTCTGGTTTCTCAAATACGGCAGGTGCCTCTCCAGGTATTCGTACCTGCCTGGTTTCACCTCTTCACGAAGATTTGGCAAGACTTGCGGGCAAACTGGGGCAAATTCCTGCGACTGCCTCACCCCTCTCCATGGTTGCGGTGAACGAGGCGGTGAAAACCTGAAGGATCCCACCGGGGGCTCCGCATAAGGAACTCCTAAAACACACAAGAGAAAATTGCTCTAGACGGATTCTTAAATCTACCTCTGATATTTAAATCCATTACGCGTAATATATCGTCGTTTAATACAATCGACATTTCTATTACAGAGTAAATTTGTCGGAAGAAATTAAACTTCTTCCAAGTTTCTTTAGCAGCAATATAAACATATCTTATAAAAAGAATTTTATTTCTAATATAATATGCACAATTATTTAAATAATTAATATCTTTTTTTTAATTAATATAAAAATATAGTACGTGCCTCTCAAACGGTTTATTTGTATTTTAATTTTAATACAATTTTAATTCAATTCAGTTGGAATGCATTCGAATTTTGACATAAAAAACATTTCTATATATATCTTCTCTTTTTTTTTAATTTACTTATATCTTCACAAGGTTAACACGCGTTTTAAGCAAGAACTGCTTCGCCGAATGCGTTCACTTTGGATGATTACCAAGAGTGAGCGGCGTAAACTCGCCTTTGGATATACAAAGCGATGCACACAGATGCAACTCGACGCGTGGCGATGCGACTTGACGGACACGCAGCGCGTACTCGAGCAAAGACCGAGAAAACTGAAGGGGAGATGGCGGGTAATATCTGTTCCCGAAATACACGGGCGCGCGCGAGCACGCTCTCCTCGTTTTGGATCCTTTGACGTATCGGGACTCTCAAAGCGCGGATATGCAGCTGCCAGGAAACTTTTGCTCACTGACCGGAGCCGAGTTTCCTCCGAGTATCGAACACTATCGAGATACCGTTATAGTAGATTATTGCATATGAAACGCTCTGCGTTAACCAGTTTAGCATCTCCGCCAAATTAAACGATTATTCGATCGATATTAATAATTTCGGTTAATTTTTCTTCATTCTTCGTCTTTTCATCTCAGAAAAAAAATCCGCATTCTTATTTTCAGTATTGAACGTAACAAAAAATAAAGAAAGATAATTGTTTCTATGGAAGAAATTAGAGATTTTTATCCTGACTAATAAACTGTTGTATGATATAATTTTTGATAATTAAATATAATAGCTTACCGAGAAAGACGTCGACCAGCTGCAAATTGTGATTGGTCCTCGGTTGGACCACCATGCCACGTAATCGGCCTTCCTTGACGCGAACTTCCCTCGTCATTCTTTCCTGATCGTGAAATCGCTGATGATAACCGTACTGATTCCGCGATTCTCGCAAGTCGCGGTGCTCCGTAAAAATCTGCGTGCAAGCCAACAATAGAAGACCCACCAATTCCATTCGCAACATGTTGGACATTTGCTTCGCGTTAGTGGATCAAGCGCAGCACTCCAAATTTAGTTTAATGCATTAAAAGTTGTTCCAAAGATTCTCATTAACGCTTTCAACAAACTTTATAATCAGAGTTCGAGATTTTATTTTACAGTATTAACTCAATATTCACAAGAATTCAACACAAAATTTATCACAAAACACTTATTGTAATTCTTATGGCATATGTGTAGAAAAAAATTATCATAGAAAAAGACAATCTTTTAAGAAGCTCACAGAGCGATGAGTTCGAGGCAACACGCGACAAACAAGCTGCGCCGAAGCACTCGCGATTGAAGTAAAAATAATTTTTCCGGCTGCCGTCAGACCGGATGCGAAGGGCTGGCTCTTTCGGCCGTCGTTGGAACTTTTCGCTCGGAAGCTTCCGCTGCCACGCGGAATTGTTTGAAGTTACTTTTCCGCACGTGGAGTTCACATTTTCGTAGCTGTCGGTCGATTTTCCGGACGCCACTTGATTTTATTCTAGTTACAGTTCATTGCAAAGTTCAACATGACATTTTCCCTCGGACTCGTTTTAACCATTCCCGATCGACCAGAATTGATCCATCAAATGTGTACTTCATATTCAGCAAGATCAACATATAATTCCGCTCGCTCTCTTTACATATATAAAAAAAATATTTTTTTTATTAATCAATACTTTGGAATCACGCACAGATTTAAAATTCATATGGACGCGCATTCAAAAAATTTGATTGATATATCTCTATAGCCGTGCTCGTACATTTCTCTTATTAATTGATTCGTGATTAATTGATATATATATATATTAATTATTTTATTACTTGAAATTTTTCTACGTGCGATTCACATTATATCTGCATTCGTAGACACGCATTCCTTGAATGTATTTAAGCAAAAGTACTGTACCGAGAGGAAACAAGTTGATGGCGATCGAAAGTCGCGAGAGAACGAGAGCGAGAGAACGAAGTTTACCAACAGGCGACGCGTTCTATTTGGGGCGAAGAGTACGTGCAGTCGCGCGAGTCGTCGCTCTCTCTTCGTACGTACGTTCACCCTTGTTTGTCCCGCCAAGAATATCGTCTCTGGAGGACATTGCCGAGAGCGCGTTTAGACCTTTCTCGACTTACAACGTTATCCGTCAAAAACTCCACTCCGCAACACTGCCATATTAAACAAAATTCACAATCGAAGAGAGAGAAGCATGGATAAAATTTAATTGATATAAGAGAGAGAAAATTTTTATCATAATATATCTTTTTTTTTTAATTTAACGGACGAGTTTATATTTAAGATACGAAAAGCTATTTTTAGACGAAATATATTTTATGGCGTCGCGGAGGGAATGATTTTGCACATAAGGAAACGTCGCAATATCTTCGTATACGACGAGATAAGAACTTCGTGAAGAAACGATTCGCACGTTAACGTCAAACGACAAGTTGTAATCGCGCAAATTCGATCACGTAACGGGCGAGATACACAGTTTTCCAGCACATCGCGATAATAATTTTAGTTTTATATACACGCGAGGTATATATACGAGCATTTCGTAATTCCAACATAATTTACGGATGAATGACATTGAGTTCAAAACTAATTTGGGAAAACGCAAAACAGAAAGAGAAAGAGAGAAAGAGAGAGAGAGAGAGAGAAACCAACTAAATCCGATATTTGTGACATTTACGGTAGCAACTTTTGAAGACTTGAATACACGCTACGCGATTTTCAGAGCATATTAGATTTATCTGTCGAGCTTGTATAGTCTGCAATTCCGAATTTCTTTCAACGTAATATTTCTACATGAAAATTTTTGGAGAATTCAAAAACCGCGTTTGACTTTAACATTTTGATATAACATTTTTTATTCAGAGAAATTTCATTTAAATACTTATTAATAAAAAATGTGTAATGCTTTTATAAGATATTTTTATGTAATCACAGAAGTTTGTGAGAACTTTTTCAACGGATTAGTATAGAAATCTGTTTTTAATAATCAAAAGCAAAAATGTCAAGAAAAATTACTTTTCATATCTAAAAAAAAAAATCTGTGTCTCTTGAATTATATAATGTTCTTCTATTTTTAATAATTTTACTTGCTGAAAGTTTATTTACTGTACATAATTATATAAGTGATATATATATATATATATATGAAGGATACTCTGAACGAAATATAAATTGGTATCGTAAAAATCTCGAGAATGTACGCGGAGAAAAGAAGCGCAAAGTGACAAGATCTCTTCTCGGAACTTTGTAAAAATTTTTGTGAGACGTTTCACGCTTGTGAAAAATTCTCCACGTTATTTTTAACGTCGACGATGACAACTGTGGAGCCTCCTCGTCGAGCGGAGCCGAATTGTACATTTTCGCATCGATGCACACTCTTCAGGGTGTGAACTCGCAATAACGGTTTGATGGGCTAGATACGTCGCCACTGCGTGCGCGAAACTATTACTTCTCTATTTATATAACCATCAAATAGAGAGCGCACATTTATTAAATTGGTTTTTGGCCTTCTCTTTCTTTCTTTATAAAATTAATGTACTAAAATTTTGAAAAAAGATAGAGAAAGAAAAGAAAGCGAGATCATATATTTAGCATGTATATAATATATTTAAAATTTCTTATATTTTTATTTATTTCTCTGTTTTTTATTTATATCTGAATTTTTAATATTATTTCTAACAAGCTCGGCTTTTTCTATTCCGCTTTTTCTATATACCGAGATATAAAATATTTTTGACAAACTTTTATATTTCTTTCTGTGTATGGATGTGTCTATGTGTGGTGTTGTTAAGGGATTAGGGATTGAACGAGAGAGCGTAAGCGATTATTGCAGCAAATCCTATTTTGCCGACCGCTTGTTGCGGATAAGCTTATAGGAATTCAACGCATCCATCATTAATTCTTCTTTTTACCTTTGTCGATGTTTATGATAGATTTTTGAGAGGTGAGAAAATACCGCCACGTTATCACGCTCCGGTTATTAAACCCCTCTATTGTATCTCTCTCTCTCTCTCTCCTTTTCTCATTAAAAAAAGGAATTCTATTTAATAAATTTTATGAGAAGTTTTTCTCGCGTAATAAAATATTTCGAATGATGACAAACTATTATGTTGTCACGTTGCAATAATTTCTATTTTTAGATCCTCGCCGTAAAATAGCCGAAAATTAATTGTTTACCCTTTTTTGCACATTCTAGAAAAATTTCGACGAGCAACGACAATAAATTTTCACTCTCGCGGTCCATGCAATATTTTTTTTTTTTTATAACAAGGATAAATCTAATCTTAATAATCACATCTCTCACACAATCGTATCATCACATTGTCACCATAATTTTGACGGTTCGCAAAACATAGCGAAAAATAAAGTCTAGATTTTCACGATTGTTGGATATAATCTCGAGCGCACTTAATCCCTTTTCTTTTTCATAAAAGTGATAAAAGCGCGTGTTGAGACAGCTCGTTTTGTCTCGGCGAATCTCACAAGCGAACTGAGCCAAAGCGTGCGAGGAACGTTTCTAAAATTAAATCATGAGTTTTCGAACGAAGCGCCGCCATGGCGAGGCGAGGTTCAAGCGGAAACTTTCGTTTTCGATGAAACCGTCTTCGTTGCACGAAATTTTTCCGCGGATATGCATCCCGTTGACTACCATCTGGATACGGGGAGGTATCGAGGAAAAGAAGGATATTTGTACCGGATGCTTGTTTGCTCGTTGATCCGCAAGAATGCGAAACGCGAAAAGCACAAGGCTGCGCCTTCGTAACTCGAGAGAGACATGCTTTCGCGAGCAGCTTGATGAATAACATCGCGAATAATATTACTCTCGTTCTAAGCTCTTGGTAAATTTTTTAAAAATGAAGATGTATTAACATATTAGAATTATCTACGTGACTAAATTTTGGAGCGATAAAAGATTTTAATATCGCTTTTGTTTGTTAATCTTTCTTAATTCTTTTTTATTATTGTTATATTTTTTATTTTTCTTTTAAAATATAAATTTCGTGCATCACTTTTTTTTTAAATTTGTACTTTTGTTAATATAAGCATAGATTTAGTTTTTTCATAATCCCAGAAAATGAATCTTTTGTACATATAGATAATTAATCATTCAATCAAATTTAAATTGATTTGAAATTGAATTAAAATTATATTAAACTGAGTGGATTATTGGAATCAGCTCTTCCTGAATAAGATTTCACTTTGATTTTCACTTTCAATTTTAATTCAAGTTTGATATTGAAATGTTTTTTTTTTAAATTAAAATTATCTTGTTTTCGAGAAAAATAAACCTTCATTAAAGCATAATAACGCACAATACAGGATTTTCGTCGGATGAATACGAGACTTGGATGAGCTTAATGCGCGTAAGGGGTTCGCAAAATTAGTTTTGTATCCGAATTATCCGCTTCGCGTCTACGCACGTATATTCACGGCGTATTCATGGGACGTAACGACGTGTTAAATCTACGATAAGAAGGCTTTGAGGCGACCTCCTTTGGATGCGCGGGGGCTGATTCTGACGACGAGTAGCTCCTCTTCAGAATCATCTCATTTACGTTAATGAACTTAGCTCGTCTCCCCCAGACACAAAGGGGACGAGGAAAGGGTAGTAGATGCTGTCTAGGATCTTCACCTAGATGAATTTTATAACTGGGGAAGTTTAGCTCTTTAGAGTTTAGAAACTCCGGAAAAGAACGGCGATGCATCAAATTTTTAGATCTTGCTTCCTTGAATCTTTGATATTAAATTTAGTGCCAATTATTTTTCTATACATTTATTTATAAGTATCTCTCTCTTTTTTCTTCTCTCTGCCCGTGTGTCATATGAAATCCTCATTTATCGGATTCTCTCGAAATATGTCATCGTTCAAACACACGGACACGCAATTTCGGTCTTTCTATTTTATAATACGAGGATTTGCCGCGACATCGCCCTTAAAGCCGCTTCATAAGTTTGATATATTATTCAGAATAAGCCGAATCTCGGGCGCACTTATTTTACCGGCCAAGTTGATAGCAAGGAGGATCATAAGGATCCCCGCCATATTCGCCGTTCCATAATGCACAATGTGGTGATGTTTTCGTCATGGGATTACGCCAAACGACGAAATGTCACATGCTTCT